GAGTAAGTAGATAATGGTTTCTTTAAACGTTAATGTATTAATCAGTTGATGAGTTATGAGGAAGCATATAAAATCGATAGGTGAGCACTGGGTAGAAAGGTACAAACTCAAGAGCAACAGAGGTGAGGGAGACCAATAGGAAATCAAGAGCAACTAATGTGAAAGAGGGAGACAAAAAATTCTTTAATCGCAATAGTTGAAGGGAGACGAAGAAGTGCATGGAAGCTAAGCCCATTGAAGGGGAGAAACAGAGCCATCAACAAGGAGAAACAAGTAAGGTAAGTGCTTTTGTCGGAAACAAAGCAATTGAAGAGGAGAAATGGAGATGACTCTTAACCTTTCACTTCTTCATTCTTCTCCACCTTTAGTTTCTTCCCTGAAGAACCTTTAGCTTTGTCAATGAAAAACCTCTAACATCTTCCTTTGGAAAACCTCCAACTTCTTCCTTGAAATGCCTTTAATAAATTTTACATGTTCATTCATATGTTATTAGGCTAAACCAAATTGCCCTCAAACGTTTTGCTTCTTTTTAGTAATTTTTATGTGTATACAAGGCTATTTAGTAATTGTATTAATTTTGCCTTTTTGTCTTTATAGAAGGAACATGTGAAATAAACGGAATATCAATTGAATTTATTCCCATGGAACATATCGAAACAAGAAGATTAAATCAGAAATATCAACAGATTTCTTTTGTAGAGTTAAAATAAATATAAAATAAAAAAAGATTTACTGTTCCAATTTCATCTCTATTGAATTTTAATATCAATGACACAATAGACATTGCGATGCGAAGAGCTTTGTTTGGAGAAATAGAAGGAACAAAAAGAACAGTGTGTGTGTGTTTCTATCTCCTTTAAGCTCAATATAGAAAAAAAAAAAAAAGATCAATGTTCTTTCGGATATTCTAATCACAAAGCTATTAATCTCCCAAGCTCCATAAAGAGAACAAAAAAAAATATGATCGATGTTCTTTCAAGTGTTTTAATTGCAAAGTTGTTAAGAGGCATGATGTTGATATTTTATTTGGTCTGACTCTCATAGGTAAGAAATCAATTCAAATTACAACTGATCTTGCGAGAAGAATTTAAGCATTAGAATTTGAAATAAGATTACAATGAATTTCCAAGGATGCAAAACGTGGAAGGAGATAGGAAAATATAAAGACATATCCAGACAAAATCAACTATGTCCATTGCTACAAGTTCTCTCAATACAAAATTTTTAGATTATTTGATATTACAAAGGGTTTCTTATGTTAAAAGTGCAAAGTGTGACTTAAGACATTAGCTCATTAATTTGAAATATCTGATGTATTAAAGTTTTTGTCTAACCAAAATATTGGAGCTCAATCCTCTCTTTATTATTTTTTTTATTATCATTAATTCTTAAACATTAAAAAACATTACTTTACTTTACCTCCCTCCCTCTATTTTCACTTTCAAAAGAATATGACTCATCATTCTCTAAAACTTCCAAATGCGCCATAATCAACGCACGCATCGACAAGGGAAGTATCGAGTCAACGCCATCCTACCTATCTTCTGAAGTTTTTCATTAAAACACCATTAATTTCCCAACCCATTGCCGTGAAAATTGCATCAGATTTCCTATTACTATTAAATCATTTGAATATCGGAAATTTGAATAGGTTCTATGGTGCATAGATCCTACCACCGTCGTCACCAAAGCAGGGTTGATTATGGCTATATAATAGTCACTGCATTTTGATGGAAAAACCAAGCAAATTTTCATACCCAAAATGTCCAATTCACTCCGTTAAATCTATAGTCATCCTGACTTTTCAAGTAGTGAGAGAGAGAGAAAAAGAGAGAAAGCAACTAAAAATCAACAAAATAAGACTAGTAAAAAAATCGAAAATGAAATCCAATTAAAACAGACCTATATTCTTCCAAATCTTAACACCTTAAATATCAGTAACGTCTAGGAATGAGAAAATAAAACTTGGCTAAATGCAAGACAATTGAGAGCAATGGTTTAATCGTCAGTAACCAGGTAGTCATTGATTGAAACTGAGAACAGTATGGAAGAAAAATAAGAAAATTACAAAACAATTTAAATCACTTGCTATAAGGAGTGACAACAAAGGAAACGAAAATCCCACTGAAAGGGTAGCTAAATTGAAATAAAGTTTGTGACAATGCAAATTTGCTTTATGGGAACCTCACGTAAAAGAGATGGGAAAGAGGGAATACTACTAAAACTATACCTGAATTCTCAAGTGAAGTATATGATAGCCGAAGCTATATGGTACAAACTTACGAGAACTCTTGCCACAATGAAATCTCGCTTCCAGCATCAGGACCTGTGGATCTTGAATCCAAATACTCGTGGAACGTAGTTCTGCGATGCCCTTTGTGGCTTGAGGTGACCATATGTCATGAGGAATAAGTGAGGAAAGGTAGTCCCAAAATAGGCGCCATCAATGTCTAGATAGAGTTAAGGAAGCTTAGGATGCATCACAAATTAAAGCCAAACCCACGGCACATGCCTTGGACTTTTCAAGTCCCACTTGACATGCATCCATCTTCTTTTACATCAATCACTAAAACTAACCATGCAACAGCTAATAATATCCATATTTACATGATTTGTAATCCAACCATGTAATCCGAAAGCAGACAACCAACTGTTCATTATTTCCATATATTTTATTACTTTACTGCTTCTCCCAAATGCTGACACTTCATTACCATTCTGATAATATCATCTAGTTAAATTCCACTAGAAAACATAAAATGTCTCACCAAACGTACAGGCAGAAAATGTTTTTCGCACAACTGTATACCATTAAAAATGTATAGTTTCAACTTGTTATTCACCATCTCTAACGCAAAAATCCTAGCAATATACATGCAAATGGTCCAACTGCAAAATTCAAGCCATTCCTTGACAAGATTGGATACATAGGCTGAAATTGACACTAACCTATATTTAAAAGAAGCACCATGACATTGATATTGCACGTCTATGCATCTAACCATTAATCTGGAAGAAAAAAATATGCATAAATGTCTACTCCTGAAACTACATGCTGAACATCATGCTTAATGTGTTCTAAGAGCTGTAAAAATATATTCAACAGTACGAAGGATACTACCTTGATACTTGGACCGAGGATAGTAGATATCTTCACATCTGGGGCAATATATTTTAACAGTGCTTGCCCGAGGAATGTCCGATTGACCAACTGGAAGACATGGTTGTCCACAGCAGTAAACTCTAGGACATCTTCCAAAATCATAATTCTTGTACTTGTCTAACTGCAGAAGTTCCAACAGCATAGTTTTAAGCAGTGCCCAATATCAAGGGCATGAAGAATGAAGTGTGTAGCCATAAAATTGAAGGCATAAGCAAAAGCTCACCATGGCAGCCATTCCTTTGCTGGTCAAGATATATCGAGCATGAATGAGACCATAAAGCATCTCTGCTGCTGATTCGATGAGCTCATTTTGTTCCTCAGTAAACATGTCACCTAAAATTCAAGCCAATCCAAATTGTTCAGTACAAAAATTTTAATATTCTAACAAGTTGCCAATAAAATGTACCATGTTCAAAGGTACATTGTAAAGAAAATCAGAAGCAGAAAAAACTATGATACACATGACAGGCCTTGCATGAACAATCAAAAAACTAGATGAAAAGAAAACATATACTTGATCTGAGAATTTTCTGTAACAATGCAACTACATCAATGCATGCTTCTGTAACAATAAAAACTACATTATAGTGTATGCATGAGAAAAAACAAAAGGAAATACCGGAGAGTTAAGTGTGATTACACACATTTCAACAAGAAGAGTAAACAATGTTGCAACAAATTCCAACCTTACAGGCTTACCATGAGAAGATTCAACATCCAAAATCAAATCAAGAGCATAATCATAGTAAGGAACTTGACTGCTAAGTCCACACAGATTAAAATCATCCTGTATGTAATCATCATCAACCTCACAAAAGAATTCATTTCCTCGCAAATTGCAAAACCATGAGATCCAGGATGTGTCCTCTCCATCAGAACCACTAACATCTGACTCTTCACTGTCTGTTTCAGATTCCTCTACAGCCAAAATAGAAATAAATAGGTTCAGCAATACATACAAACCAGTGCTCACTTCCATAGTACACAAAAGGAAACACAACCAAATACAAGACAGGGAAATAAACACATA